ATTTTTGGGTCAAATTGATTCGCCTATTTATAAACCACGCTATAAATTCAATTGTACTATTTTACAGGTAGACAGTTAAGTTTGGAGAAAATCAGAGGAGTCAGCACACACACACATATATATGTATGTATGTATGTATGTATGTATAAAGGAATAAAAATAAGAAACAAATATGTCATATCCTAATCTTCGAAATCAGCAGGAGAAATACATATACACTATGCAAAATTGAATAACTGATTGGAGTTCTGTCTTACAGACCCAAATAAGCTTAGCTGGAATGTCACACAATTAATTGTTCAGAATCACTAAGGCCTATTAGCCTTGGCGATTTCTCCTGCAAAATCACATCGAGTCTAGTAAACCAAAGACTAAGCCTCTTTATGGACAAACTTATTTCTCCTTATCAAACAGGTTTTATCAAAGGAAGATCCATTACCGAAAATATCATGATGACTCAGGATATGGTCCATAATATTACAGAACCTTTCACCCATGGGAATGTAGTGTTAAAAGTGGACATGGCTAAAACATATGATCGAGTCTCATGGGAATACCTTTGTAATATTATGAGGCATTTTAGCTTTAATGAAACTTGGATTGATATGATTTGGAGACTTATGTCTAATATTTGGTATTATGTAAATATCAATGGGAGTAGACAGGGGTTTTTCAATTCTTCGAGGGGGTTAAGACAAGGGGATCCTTTTTCTCCTTTTCTTTTTCTTATTGGGGCTGAACATTTTTCAAGATTAATGGAGTCCTTAAATAATCATGATTTTATCCCTTTCTCTATTGATAGTCATGGTCCTATTATATCTCATTTATGTTATGCTGACGATATAATTTTATTTTCCTCTGAACCTGAATCCTTGAAGATCATGATGGAAAAGATAGAGACTTATCAGAAAATCTCAGTGCAACTAGTAAACAAAGCCAAATCTGGTTTTTATGTCAACTTTCAAGATGATGATATAAGAATCAACCAAATCAAGCAGATTATTGGATACAATCACTGTCACATTCCAATGCAATATCTTGGATGTCCTATCTGCATAGGAAGGAAAAAAGTTGTTTATTTTAACAACATGGTGGCTAATATAGCCAAAAGACTCCAAGGATGGCAAGGTAAATTTCTAACCTATGGTGGCAAAGCTATTCTTATTAAATCTGTTTTGTAGGCTATTCCACTTCACACTCTATCAGTGGTACATCCTCCCAAGGCAACTTTCTCCCAGATTGAAAAGATCATCTCTAACTTCTTTTGGGGTATGGATGGTAACAAAACAAGAAGCATTGGATTTCTTGGAAAGACATGTGCTTTCCAGTCGAGGAAGGGGGAGTTGGCTTCAGTTCTCTTAAAGACACATGTGATGCCTTCTCTGCTAAGATATGGTGGAAATTCAGAACTCAAAAATCCCTTATCAAAGATTTTCTCAAAGCTAAGTATTGTAAAATATTTCATCCTGTTGCAAGAAGGAAAGCTCAATGCCAATCTCATACTTGGAGAGAATGATGGACATCAAAGAAAAAGTGGAACCTTATATCTCATGGATTCTTGGAAGAGGGGAGATCTCTTTCTGGTGGGATTCTTGGACAGGACTTGGGCCTCTGGCTCACCTGGCGCTTAACACCAAGACTCCTAAAAGAACTTCTATCATCAGAATACTTGGAATCAAAATAAATTGATGAGAATCCTCCCCTTGCACGTGGTCAACTGTATCAAATACATCACCTTCAATATTGATAAAGAAGACAGACCCATATGGACCCCAGATCCTTCAGGGGATTTCTCTTGCAAGTCTGTATGGCACACTCTGAGATCAAAGAAAGGAACTACTCTAAGGTATGACTATTTGGCATAAAAAGCTTCCTTTTAAAATTTTCTTTTTTATGATGAGAGTGCTAATGGATAAAGTAGCAACTGATGTTGCTATTAAAAGATTTGGGTGAATATTGCCTTTATATGTAACTGCCTCAATAACTATTATGAGGAATCTACTAACCATCTGCTCAGTGATAGTCATATTGCCAATCTAGTTTGGTCCTTCTTCTGTAACTCCTATGGTATCAGATTGGTCCAAGGCCAGGTAAGACACAGAATTATGAGGTGGTGGTTGACTAAGTCCAAAAATGAAGTTCATAAGACAGTTCTTCAGTGCCTACCCTCAATCATTTGCTGGCAAATTTGGAAGAACAAATGCTCTGCTAGGTTTGATGAAAAGCGCATGTCCCATCATTTCATCATCCAACAAGTGATCAAAATAACAAATATGCTTATCTAGACGAGGTTCCCAGATCTACAGCTCCATAACCTGTGGCAGGACACCTACAGTAGAATTGAGAAGCTCTCCCCTGCTATTCATTGTCAGATTGTTTATTGGCAAAAACCTCCAATGGGCTAGGTTAAACTTAATGTTGATGGCTGTAGAAAAGGTAACCCAGGATCGGCAGGTGGTGGTGGTCTTATCAGAGATCACCATGGCGTTTTAATTGGTACTTTTGTAGAATTCTATGGTGATTGTAGCTGTAATATTGCAGAAGCCAAAGCCATAATGCGAGGCATCAAAATGTGTATTTCAAAGGGCTTTACAAATATTATAGTTGAATCTGACTCGATGTTTCTCCTTAACTTGATCAAAAGGATCATGAAGCCTCCCTGGAGATTCAATGATACTATTGAGCAAATTCAAAACATGACCACGGATGCTAACTTTCTCTTTTGTCACACCTTGAGAGAAGGAAATAACTCTGCTGACAAGCTTGCTAACCTGGGCGAAAAATCTAAAACTGATTCTATCTTCAATGAGGTTGTATCATTACCATTGAATGTTAGAGCCTCAATGAAGTTAGAAGTTGACGGGGTCCCTAACATTAGATTCAAACAGAAGAAAAAACAAGTTCGTTATCAATGACAACACCTAGCAACAAGCTTCTTTCTCTCACCTTTTTGTACATATCATCCCTGAGTGTTACTACAAATTACCCTAGGATGCACAACTTCCTTCCCATACAAGCAAAATACTTTTGTTCAATTGTGTATCATAGAATGAGTGTTGTCACCTATCACACTGTCTTGGAGGCCAACGCCTATGTACTCCTCCGTGTAATTATTATTTTTGATATATATATATATATATATTGGAGTCACGCCTTAACTCCTCCATCGTAATGAATAATGATGGAACTATAAAGTTAAAAAAAGAAATTGTTCAGAATCTAAAGGGAGTCAATATACAAATAAGAGTGGCAAAATTGTTGTGCAATAAATCAATGATGCGTAAATGCCAGGGTCAAACTGATTGAGAGATGGTCATTGACGAATCGCAATCAAACGCAAAGATTTGGTGCAATGAATCCAATATGAGAATTCAGAACTCATATATAGCAAGAAAGAAAATGCTTCTTTTAATTTCTGAATACCTAAATTATATATCTGCCCAATGATTGGAGATGATTGAATAACAATCCCAAACGTAGCTAAAATTTAGGTTAGTTTAAACCATTACTTTCATTATTATAGTTATCAAGTCATTAAAAGATGAATAAGAATTATAAAACACAGATAATATGGAATAAAACGTGCAGCCCGATGCACTAAGCTCCCACTATGCGCAGGATTTGAAGAAGGATCAGACCACAAGAATCTATCGTACGCAGCCTTACCCTGCATTTCCACAGATAATATGGACTAAATAGAGTAATTTAGTTGAAGGACGAGAGTTTCGGTGAAGCACTTAGTAACCTAAAGGTTCCATTTTCCCATATTTTGAATTCGGTCGTGTAAAAAGTCTGATCATGTTAAGAATAAATGCAAAGATTACTGTATTAACTACTCTATTACTCTCGACTTCTATACCTAAAGCACATGGTTCTCTAGACTCTCGACTTCATAATTGGTCAAAGCACTGTTTTCTATTTCAATAAATTAGTTAACTATGAATCTTGGTTACATAACCTGGATAAAACAAAACTGCAAAATTGGATATAATTACCCATTTTGCTGCCAGGAAACATTCACTTGAACAAATTAAATGCCTTTTCCAGTAGCAAGGCTCCCGTTCTTTGAAATAAAATATAAATAAAACGTTTATTTGATACCAAATTACCGTCTTGATATGATATGTTAATAGGTCCAAATTCTTGACGTGCTGGTAACAGTAGCCTCTTCAGTGTGCCATTATCTGTTGGCCCAAAGTAAGCCAGATGAAGGAAGCTGCATGTGATAGCAAAACTTTGTTCTATATTTTTTATTAATCTTTCACGTGCACTTTCCTGTCCAAAATTGAATAATAAGTATTTTCGTAAATAGGGGTCATGAATATCTAATCTAGATGTAGAAATTTTCCATTTCCGGCAGTTGCTTATTGGATTTTGTAAATTACTTCCTAACTATAACTTTTCTAATGTGAAAGATTGAAGTTTGTGTGGGCTCTCTCTTCACTAGACTGTAGAGAAATTGGTTGGTGCAATGTACATATTGGAATACATCGATCTCACTCTTTGATTTCTCAGAAAGATTTGATTTCTCAGCAAGAAATTCATACAGAAGAAGAGAAGAAAAGAATCGATGAAGAAGAAGAAGGAAAGAAAGGACCAAACGTTTTGGACAAAACAATTTCGGACAAAACAAAGCTAAGTCCATTCTCTAATAAGCCATGTGACAAGCCACGTGGCATCATCTCAGCCAACAAATCAAATGATGAAGTTTTTAATCTGGACCGTCCACTTCTCACATGCACACAAAGGCTCGCATGCTGAAGGAATATTAATTAGTTACATTGTTAGAATTTAGCTAGTAAAAATAGGATAAGTATACATAAGTCATAGGGTAATTTTATTTTCAGATTCTTTTCTAGGTAGCTAATATCTTTATAAATACGTAGTCCTCTTGTACAGTGATTCATTCAGAAATACACAGAAATTTTCACAATCATTTTTCTCAATTTTCTACATGGTATCAGAGCATTAGCTCTTCTTTTCAATTTTCTAAATCAGTCATGTCTCCTTCTTCTAATATTACTGAAACTCCCACTCCCACCCACAACTCTTCATCCACAACAACAGGCAATGGAAATACCATTGATTCCACACACCCCTTCTTTCTTCATGCATCTGATGCACCATGGATGATACTTGTCAACACACCTTTTGATGGTCGAGGTTATGCTGGATGGAGCAGATCTATTTTGATTTCACTTTCAGCCAAGAACAAGTTGTGTTTTATTGATGGATCTTGCCCTATGCCAACCCTAATTGATCCTACTTTTCAAACTTGGAGCAGATGTAACCATACGATTACATCATGGTTGTTAAATTCTCTGACCAAAGTGATTGCTGACAGTATCCTCTATTCAAAAACAGCTAAGGATCTATGGTTGGATCTGGAGCACAGGTTGGACAACCAAATGGAGCCAAATTATATCACCTACAAAAGGATCTAGCTGATTTAGTTCAAGGTTCAGTAGATATTGCTAGTTATTTTACTAAAATGAAACAATTATGAGATGAGTTGGACACTCTCAACACTGACATGTATTGTTCTTGCAACTATGAATGTGGTGGTAAGAAGAAAATGCAGCAGTTTAAGGAAGATGAAAGGCTCATTCAATTCCTCATGGGATTGAATGAGACCTATGGACAGGCTAGAAGCAACATTCTCATGATCAAACCATTACCCTCAGTCAATCAAGCATATTCTCTTCTTATGCAAGATGAGAATTAGAGTGAAATTCATGTCAAACCTCATTTCCCAACATATGGTTCTTCATTCCTATTGAGAAATCAACCTTCTCAGAACCATCAGTCCTCTAATGGTCCTCAATTCTACACTCAACAGAAGACTGGAAACAATTCCTACAAAGGGAACTCTGGATATAAAGGGAAAAAGAATGCACAGATGTGTCTTATTGCAAGATGACTATTCACACAATTGAAAACTGCTATAGACTTATAGGTTTCCCAGTTGATTTCAAATTTACTAAAAGCAAGAAGATGCAACATACTGCAAAAGGAAATTCAGCTGCTGCAATAGAGGATACATGAGAGGTTTATAGCAAGATGGCAGAAGGACCTCAGTTTGCTCAAAAACTTTCATCAGACCAGTTCAATCAATTGGTCAGTCTTCTGAATCAAATGCAAACAGGGCAGGGAGGCACTCAGGAGATTAATGCAAATTCTGTTGCTGATATATTACTTACCAACTCCCCAACCTGTTATTCAATTGCTAATTCTAACCTTGATAACTCCTAGATCATAGATTCAGGAGCACCTGAGCACATGTGTTTCAATGCTAGTACATTCTTATTCTTATTACCATTACCTACTCCTTTAATGGTAAGGTTACCTAATTCCTGTAGAGTTAAAGTCCCTAACTCAGGCAGTGTTTCCTTATTTTCAGGATTATTGTTGGAACATGTTCTTCATATTCCTAGTTTCAAATACAATTTACTCTCTGTGCATAGGCTTTGTCAAAGATTCAAGTGTCTATTGGTTTTCACTTCTTTGGGGTGCATTTTGCTGTAGGGCCCTCTCATGAAGAGCCCACAAGTTTTTGGTGAGGCTAAAGAAGGACTTTACTTATTACAGCCTAATGTGACAGAGTCTAGGAACCCAGCTTCACAGCCTGCAGCATCTTTGCTTAAGAAGTCTTTTTCTAATTCAGTTTCAACTTCTTTTTCTTTTCCTATCTTAGCAAAAACAGAATCTGATTAAGATTATGGCACGTAGGATTGGGGCATTTTCCTTTCAATGCAATGAAACACATCAATTCTATTTCATTTTTTTCTACTCCTATTTGTGATTGTGATATATGTCCTCAAGCAAGACAGTTTAGGTTACCATTTTCAACTAGTCACATCAAAACTAAACAAGCATTTGATCTGATTCACATTGACATATGGGGACCTTATAGGACATCTACTCATAATGGATACAAATATTTTTTAACCATTGTGGATGATTTCAGTAGAGGACTTGGACTTATTTGTTAAGAACAAAGAGCGATGCATTTTCTGTCTTAAAATGATTCTTAAGCATGGTGGAAAGACAATTCAATGCTAAAGTGAAGATTATCATATCAGATAATGCTTTAGAATTAGGAAAAGAAACTGTTGCCTCTATATTTCTGCAATCTCAAGGAATTCTACATCAGACTTCATGTGTGGGTACCCCTCAACAAAATGGTATTGTAGAGAAAAGGCACAAACATTGGTTGGAAGTGGCCAGGGCTTTATTGTTTCAATCCAAGGTGCCTATATCTTATTGGGGAGAGTGCATATTGACAGCTACTTTTCTGATCAACAGATTCCCCTCTAAGACCCTTAAAGGTAGAACTCCCTATGAAGTATTATTTGACCAAACACCCTCCTATTCTTTCTTAAGAAGTTTTGGTTGTTTATGTTATGCCTCTAATTTGTCACATCATAAAGGAAAATTTGACCTTAGGGCAAAGGCATGTGTTTTCATGGGATATCCTATTGGACAAAAAAGCTACAAACTATTGGATTTGACTACTAAGAAACTGTTTGTTTCAAGGGATGTTCATTTTCTTGAACATATTTTTCCATTCACCTATACCACTTCTCCTACACTAGACCCTGTAGACATGTAATTTTTGACCCTTCCCAAAATTTTACACATTTTAACATTTAAATATTTAGTTTAGGTCTAATAGTACTATTTTTACTTTTTTTTTAAGAAAAAAAATCTTTCTTACTTTATTTATCTTAAAAAATGAAAACCACAAAAATATTTTCCTTGATTTTATCTAGTTGGTCGTTTGGCTAGCATTTTGTGTGTCTTGCTTTTCATAAAAATTAAAAATACTAAAAATAGTCTTTGAAGTTTGGTATTTCAAAAGATAAGAACAAAATGTCAACCAAAAAAAAAGCAATGACTTTGTTCATCTCTTTTTAGTTTAGCGTAAGCTTTTAAACATTTAGACTTCTTTTTTTAAAAAAATAAAATAAAAATTATGTTTTTCTTTTTAAGGTTTTCTCTTAATAGGCATTTTGGTAGTCATTTTGTTTGTCTTTAAATAAAACAATAGAACAAGAGAAGTTTTAATTTTATTTTTTTAAATCAATGGAATTTTGCCAACTCACTTCAAATGGGTGAGAATTAGTAACAGACTCCTTTTGCTTATTTTAGTTCTTTTTGCTTGTTCACTTTATGAATTCCCTAACGTTTTTGGACTCTCATGGTAACTAATTCTCTCACCTGCACATGGTTCTTAGCACTACACAACACATACATAGATAATACTCATATTTCCTTTCCCACTTACTGGAACTTTCTACTCATTGCCAATAAATTCACGATTCACACAGGACCACACAGGGTTCTTTGATAAATTAACTTTCTGTCTAAGAAAAATATGGTTCCTTCACCCCCAATCCTCCTCACATGACTTCACACAAAAGCGCACACCTACACATATATAACTAGTATAGTACCCGCACGATGCGCGGAAAATACGAAGAAAAAAATATAATAAATTATTAACTTAGTTGCTTAACCATCTCATATTTTTATAACTTGATCAATCGTAAAATTTAAACCATTTGATCGATTCCTCATTAATTTTTAAATCCTCATTAATATAGATTCCTCATTAATTTTTGATTGAAAAAGAGGCAAAACAATTGTAAAGTATTACTATACATCAGAATTACATATAATCAAGCAAAGAGCGTAAAGTAATGTGTGTATTCATGTTTTTCCTCTTTTAAGACATTGGATATGTCATTAAAGTTGCATTATTTGAAGGAATAAGTTTGCGTTATTCCATTATGTAATTTATCTTATCTAATGCTCTTAAGAAAAAAAATAATAATTAAATGACAGGTAATGTTGCAAATCAATAAAAAACTTTCATTAATTAAATAAATTACAGGTAGTCGTAGAGACGGTTCTCCCACTCTGCTTCAAATTTAAGGACATAAATCCAAAAAGGTCCACTTGACCACACCTCGTGATAAATGTCAGTTAAAATACTACCTAAAGGTTGTCCAAGTGAATCTACTAAAATTGATAATGCTTCCCAATCATATAGTATAATTTTGTCTATAGCATCTATTAGTGCATCTCTCATAAGCTGATAATTTGCAATATGTAGATCTAGTGCAGGCCTAAGCTCTCTAAATTTCTTTTCTTTTTCCCTTCGTTCAGCCCTTCGATCTCTTAACTTATTTTGTATAGCCCTTGGGACATTCCTGATAATTTCAGGCTTTGAGTCTGAAGCATTATAGGAATAAATGTTGCGACGGCGTATCTTTCGGCGTTGTCCCCTTCGTTGAATTTGAGCACTCGTAGTTGGAGTAATTTGAACGTGTCCTTGTTCATCCATATCTGAAATAGAACTAAAGAAAGAATAAGAATAGCTACAACATGTCAATGAGATAACATAGTACATGCATATTATTTTGAAACTTGCTCCTTAGTAGATATAGCTCAGGCAGTAGCGTCTCAAAGCACTCACAAATTTGAGAGACAATGATGTTATTTCTTGATAGGACTGCTAAAAGGATAGTGAATGCTAATAGAAATATTTAATTGTTGAATTGGATAGAATAATGAATAGAGGATACTACTATTTAAATTAATTCCAATATGAGTATTTAGAAACGCATCCTAATTGTTGAGGATGAAACTCTCATATATAACAATTCTCTTATCTTACCCTATGTACTCAATTCTTTCAGTTCTGTTTGGTGCGCTTAAAAAATGCATAATCCAATCCCCATAATACATATTCTTATCCTGTTTACTCAAGTCTCTCAGTTTTGTTTGGTGCATAAATAAGCATAATCCAATCCCTCATTACATACTGCTTGTCAGGTATAGACATTCCTGAAGTTTTGCTTGCATATAAAGGGGTGAAAAATGCAATAATCATTTAAATACTTCAAATTAATATCATAACTAACAGTTCTTTGTAGATAGTATTTAATATCATAAAACTTAAAAGTTAAACAGGAGAAGAAAGGTGAAATGATTCAAATATAATGTTCATAACTAATAAGAGTAGTAATAATATACTAAATGAACTCATAAAATAGTTCTTGATTTCTCCAACTGTAACATTCCCAAACACATTATGTTATTTTCTTCTTCTTAAATACTCTCTTTATTTTATTTCCTGACAATTGTGCATTCGGATCTTTTTCAACCATTGTTGCGGCATTAGTTATACCTATCTGGGCAGGTGTATGTGCAATATCGGTTGTGTCGTTATCTTCAGTGGAATCCTGCATATATAAAATAAAAATTTAGTGCAAAATTAGTGTCTGCAGTTGTTGCTTACCAAATGCATTTTTAGTAATTGGGTTTTATATACAGATGAAGTGGAAGACGATGGGGCTCTTCCTCCTCTGGCGACCAAGCGTCTAATCATGGGACTGATGAGAAGCTCACAAGGTCCCAGAGAAAGAGGCTATGACGAAAGAAGCTTAAGGAAGCTGCCTCTTGCCGCCAGAATATAATTGGGCCATTATTGCCTACAACAGAGAATGATGGGAGGGGTGAAAATGTGAGTACAACGGAAGAGATCCAGAATATAGTTGGTCCGTTTTTCCCAACCGCAGAGAATGATGGGAAGGGTGAAAATGTGAGTACAACAGAAGAGGAAACACAAGATTTTCGACAAATTGTCAATGAGCCAGGTATGATTTGAGGAGTAAAAAGTAGCAATAGCAGTAGTTTTCTGGTTTCTCTCCTTATTTTCACTTCACAGTTGTTTATATGTATTGAAAGTGGAAATAAATTTATACAGAGGCAGTATAATTAAGCCTGCTTAACAAGTTTTCTTATCTTATTCTATGAAATATTAATACTGTGTTCATAGATTCCCATAGAAAAAACAAAGTGAACATCTAGAACTTTTAAAGTTATAAAAAAACTACTCCAAATCTGAAAAAAAATTCAGAAAGAAATCCTTCAAGATATGTAAGTTGCTTTAATGTTAAAGGACAAATTAGTTATGTATTTACCTCGCATTCCTTCTCTCCATGCAAGACTTGAATATTATTGAAGTTAGGTTCCTATAAAAAATTAATAAATAAATGAGTTTGAAATTATGATTCAAATTATGCAATATAAAAGAAATTTCCAATATAAATATGTTATGAAGTTTGTAAACAAATATGACATACAGTTAAGTCATCTGAAGGTTGAGCAGGACTATATTTGTTCATCAGCTGCTCCTCATCCGTAAGCTTAACAACACTATAAACTTCCTTTTGCTGGTGAATGTTCTCTGTCTTGATAATAACCTTAAACATGAATTTTCTTTGGAGAATATTGTTCAGCTCTACTGGATAGGGATACTTATCAACAGCACCAGTATTCTAGAATGAAATTTTAAGTTAGAATTATGCAAATAACAAATATAAATTGAATTAGTTGATATACCTCAAGAAACCCTTTCTTCAATTCTTTTGCTGATTTGCCTATGAGAAATATGGTTTCACGGTCCCTGAGCAATAGGGAAACAGATCCAGTAGTATCCATTACCCTAACTTGAAGCTTATACCTAATTGCACAGTTGATTTGAGATATAAATGTAATATTTTGATGGATTAAGGAAATAGAGCTGTTGATTTTACCTAATAACTGCTGAGTAATCTTCATGTTTATATTTGGGGTTTGGGCATTGATAAATGTTTCCTAGTTTATCCACCTTCTTTTGACACTTCTTGCAGCTAACGTACGACCATCCTTTTTCAAGTTCTAAATTTTCAATACTTGCGACAATCCAACATGGACCTTCCTGTTGAATAAAGTGATAAGACAATTGTTGAATAAATTGATAAGACAAATGTAATGAAAAGACATAGAGAATATGGTCAAACATAATATCAAAGAAATAACATAAATGTAATTGAAGAATTTTTCATCTTCCAAATGAGGAAACACTCTTTAAAACCATAAAATAAGAGGACTAAAGGCCAAAAATAAACTTCATATGTAATGTAAAGGCATAAAAAAAATGGTCCATGTGGCGACTCAGTGACATGAGGAAAGGATAGGTACCTATATGATATGGATTAGGATTTAGAGGTACTGTGCCAACATGCCGTTGATCGCAAGGAACGCAAATTAGTTTATATCAGTTAAGAGTTCAAATATAGATAAATTGAGCTATAATCATCTTTCTGGTTGCGATGATTTTCTAGATAAGTCGAATTGTTACTATTGTGCGATTTTCTTCGCATGTGGCTTGCTGCATTATATATGTAGGAGACTGAGGTTCTGAGATCATATGAGATCTATGTAATAATGTAGTAATCTGGTAGATGGTCTACTGGGGATTACATATTAGGCTAGGTAGTTGTTTATTAGGAATCTATCCCATTAAAGATGACAAAGAAGATTTGAACTACTTCTAGTCTTTAATTTGTTTGTGGCCTCTAGTCAGTTTATCTAGCTATAACTTAAATGGTGTTAGCATAGTTGACTTAAGGAATACATAATCTATATCTTAATTTCAATCCTGCTATACTACTGCTCAATCATTTAGCATGTAGATAATGAACAATTACTTGTTCTTTTCCCTCTATTTGTCTGCTAGAGTTTCTTCATTGGTTGTTCACTATCTTCTGTGCATCTTTACCTAAATTTAAAAACTGCCTTTTTCAAACCATAAAATGAGAGAAACAAAGATGTGCATTTTTGCAACTTTTAACCTGAAACAACAGTTAAATTAATACTACAGAAGTTACGTCACTCACTTGTATGGACTCCACTAATTGGCCAATTGTTTTAACTTGAACAATGGCCTTCTCCAACTCATCCGAGACAGAGTAACTTTGTTGAGAGATGGTTTGAGTCAGCCTCTCGGAGTTATTATCCCGAACAGAAAGTAATCTGTATTTATGAATAACTAAAATAGTTAGATGTATACTTGGAAAATTTGATTTGAGTATAGAAGCAGTGAAATTTTATATAAATAAATCAATATATATATTGAACCGTGTTTTAAATTCATCAGATTGAGGAAAATTTGGATTAATCCACAGCTTTGATGCATTCCATGTATTGCGCACAGAATATGAATCTACAAAACAACGTTCGTGTAAGATATAATGAATAACTTTCACAAAGTAATGTTAAATTGAGTAATTGTATTTTACCTTAATATTTATGGGCTTTTATGAGCTGCATAACAACAATAATAGGCTGGTTGTTAGCACTTAGTAGATGAGGAACAATTTAATCAACAAACTCCCCCCAAAATGTAGCAGACAACTTCTTCCTCCTGTCAAATAGAAATAAGAATGTAATTTTAGCATATGTAATTATCAAATCAATCCTTAATTAGTAGATGAATATTTATTCTTACTCATCATCTTCTAGTTCAATATCCATAAACTTCCTAGAAATTCCACCTTGGTTTTGCGTTTGTACCTCACTGAAATTGACAATTTCTCCGATGACATCTAAAGAAAAAGAAATTGTTAAAATAAATAGTAGATAAATTCATAATTAGAAAATTAATGTAAAATCTTTATTTACCAAATAATTCAGTCTTGTTCACGTCAACCTTATTTATCAATTGATCATATGGTCGCAAATCAAAGATATTGATTGGGAAAAGTGGATCAGTTGTTTCAGCCACTGTTGTCCGTTGAGTAAACGTCAGCCTCAACCTATGTTTCGTGGTGTTGAACTTCTCCTTATTATGACAAACGATAAAGTTCGCCATATTATATAATCCAAGCTCAGTAATTTGTGTTTTGAAAAGATGCAAAACTGACTTGCCAATAGAAGCACTTATGTGATCGCCCTACAAAAAAATTACATTACATAATAGACTGAAGCATAGATTGATGTTTTTGGCAGTATTAAACAGCGTGATAAGTACATAATGTTGCATCGTGTTACCTGTCTTCTGGTGCAACCTTTATGCCGACTATGCAATGTTATGATTTGTATTAATGGTAATTTATATTAACTATTAACTATGGTCGTAAACAGTAGAGTTAAACAAATTAATCAGTTGTAGTAATAGAGAAAAAAAATCAGATTTGCAAGTGAAACTGTTTTTGGTAATTCGAAAAAAACTCCTATACATGACAGGAGATCCCCTAACTCTTGGATGTGAAAGAAACTTGATGGCATTTTGGACTTGATCCTCCCGAACTGGTTCTGAGTTTACAAATACAGAAGTTAAAGAGATCCCTCTTATAGCCTCAGGCTTGGAATCCTGATTATCTTTAGCAGCTGGTGCAAAATCACTAATAGAAGGAGATTTGATATGCAAATCTGCTGCATAGTAGCTGAGTTGTAGTAATAGAGAAAAAAAAATCCATTTTTTGCAAGTGAAACTGTTTTTGGTAATTCGAAATAACTTTAGTTCGAAATAAATTTTTTTCCACCCCTTCTGTCCCCTGTTTATATTTGTACAAATATTTTGAGGACGAATACAAAACCGAGAAACAGAGAACCAAAGGAATTAGTTTATACTTTTCATGAAAAATTTGAAAAAATGTGCTGCATAGTAAATTTGAACAAATCTATAAATATGCAGCTCATATGCTCTTTAGAAGGGAGGATAAACAGTAATGTGAAATATAATTACATAAACAGTAATGTGAATTCTAATAGCAGAAAGTTGATAAACAGTAATGTGAATTCTAATAGCAGAAAGTTGATAAACAGTAATGTGTCCTGCATTATATGAGTATTGATCATTTAAGAACTTCCTAGTTTTCCATGTTCTGTGATTGTTGCAAATGACATCTGGCTTTCTTTTGCATTAACGTAGCTATCACCTAATAAGGTAATGTGAATTCTCATAATGTAGTTCAGTTGGAAAAGTTGACAGCCTATGTGGAAAATGGATATAGTTCCATCAATGCAATTAAGAGATTCAAATTATAGGCAATCACTTATATGTATAGAGTAAATCTCAAGAATGGCTATTGTCAACTATGACAAAAACTCAGCATAACAAATCTATAAATGTGCAGCTCATATGCTCTTCAGAAGGGAGGATCATTTGAAGAAGATGGATTTTTCTGGCATTGCTTTCGAAAACTACTTTGCTGCAGAGTGCAACCTAAGTCATGTATAATTTAAATCGAATTAGCAATTTGGAGGAGCAAAACAAATATATATATAATCATATAACAATTCCGAAAATCAAATCGAATTAGCAAGGTAATAACATATGTAAAATACCTTTTCATCTTGTAGAACCAATTCAATCGAGAATATAGTGCCTGGATTAAAACGATCCGGTACTTCCCACATACGGACAACACGAACTTTCAACTTCCATTGCATCTTCGAAATTGTTATATCCTTGATGAAATCAATGTGAGTAGCCATCTTTTGCATAAGCCGTAAGTTTTCTTGAAATCTTGATAGAAGAAGGAACTTTAGAATTGAAGAACGTGTAGTTGAGAAAGAAATATAAACTCCTCTACACTTGAGCAGTTGATACCCAGTATGAGCAGTTGATACCCACTATACGATACGTGGGTTAAACAGTTGAATCCATCGTGCTTTTGAAGAGAAAATATAGGTTAAGTTGAAGGTAAAAAGTAATTACCTAATATTGTGGAGTAAAAGGTTTTAACAAATAAATTGATTTAATAATTTAAAAACATTAAAAATTGAGATAATTTAAGAGGATTTTGAACGGTTTAGAACTGCAACAGGGGCGGAAGGCCAGTCCTATTTTTGAGGAAGCGGGCTGTTTTTTAAAAATACAATGGTTTTTTCCAAATACAATGATTTAATAATTTAAATAAATTTTAAATTAACAAAACTGCACAGAAGTGTTTACGGTTTTCTCATGAATGGTTTGAATTCTACTTCCTAATATTTAGGAGCAATGTCTTAACATGTCATGTGTCATTCTATTGTTCTGTCATTTGGCTTCATGATATGCTTTTGTTTTCTGCTTTTAATTATAGATAGATTCTCTTATTGTTTGATTTAATAGCTTGTTGCTTATTTATTCCCTTATTTCCCTTTGTAGCATTTATCTTTGTTCCTCTTTTTTTTTTAATTTACAAAATAAGGTAATTTTATAATAAAACTAGCTTTGATCTTGTTTGCTGTGGACGCCTTACTTTGCAGTAGATCTGTGAAGTACGAATTTATAGAAAATGTAATTGTAGAAGCAACATGTTAAAAGGAGGTGAGAGCTAAGAGTTAACTTTAAATGTGAGTGATGTCATGACTCATGATTTGATCGTGTAAAGAGAGAGAAAAAAGAGGAGCATTATCGATATTAGGTCTCGATTTTGGGTTAGAAGGCGAGCGAAAAGGAATTATGCTTCATGCTAAACCAGCACAATCGTTCAACTTTTGTGTTTGAGGGAGTACAGTAAAATTATATAAGGGGTCCTTGACGTGGGCGTGCACACATACGATTTTTGACGAGGTTAACGGATTTAAGTGACCCTCCTCCACCAATGTAGATCCGCCTCTTAATTGTCTTGGTATACCTGTTGCAACATGAGTTATCCAGCTGTTGCATAAAGCGGTTATTGCAATGATTTTAAAACGTTGCTATTGGCGTGTTGATCGCAAACTCACAATTAAACAAAAAAATGCTATCACTTAACGACTTGATACAATGATTCATAACTCTTTTGAGTGTTTTTGAGTTGAATGAAGCTCTACTAATTACATTACTTTTGTGACATCTTATTGAACCACAAACAAGTTTTCTTAAATACGGAGTGGTAATCTTACTTCATGTTAATTATTTCATCAAACTGGTTGTGATGGTAGATATGATCGCTTCGCCCTCAATCGAAGATT